TCGACAACGTGCTAATAGATAAGTACTCAAGTATACAATAGTACAGCGCAACTGCATGCGCAGTAAATCGCGTCGTCGTCGTGTGTGTGTGTGTGTGTGTGTGTGTGTGTGTGTGTGTGTGTGTGTGTGTGTGTGTGTGTGTGTGTGTGTGTGTGTGTGTGTGTGTGTGTGTGTGTGTGTGTGTGTATGTGTGACCCGCTTATAACATTTGAACGACTAAACCGATCGGAACACTAAAGGGCGTTCTAAAGAGTTCCCTCAAACTTACGAGTGTCTTATTTCCTGTGAATTTGAACCGATTCGGGCCGATAGATTTTGAGAAATCTAAAAAAAACTGAGAAAAAATTTTTCTTAAGGAGGTCCTTTCGCCGCCAATGTAAAATAAAAAAGTTTGGAAAATCTAAAAGTGAACGCCTCATAATCTCATTTTTTAAAATAAAATTGATTAAAATAAAATATAAAAAGCAAAATAATAAAAAACAGAAAACACTGCTATGGTTTAGGGGCGCCATAACTGCAAGGTGAGGAAAAAAAATACTATAATAAAATGTATAGATAGAAATACAAAAAAATCCACAGTCATATATTAGTTTTTTATAAATAATAATTTAACGACAGTGAATTGAACGCTCATATTAACTAAGAAATTCTGTCGTGTGTTACTTTAGATAATTAAAAAAAAATTATTCCGGTACGATCATTTTTTCGACCAATTTCCCTGCCACTTACACCCATTCATACACGGACGTCCAAAAAAGATTATGTTTAATGTTATTATTTATTATGTTAAACAAAAAAATTGTTATTGAAATATATTTTATATATTGCCTGAAAAATTATTTGACTTGACATAAGTGTACTCATTTTAACCTGTAAGTGCGATATAAATAACAAAAAATCAATTTCAGTTTCGAGAAAACTGCTTTTTTCGAAATGTCGAGAGTAGAGCACAACCTCAACGCTTCGCTTATGAGGCGTGCAAAATATTAGATTATGAGTAAATTAAATTTTTTTCTAATAGTTGAAGTCCTTATTTATCTAATAGTGAGGTTTAAATTATACTTTACCGGACAAATTTTTGAAAAAATAAAATTTTTAAATGTTAGTATTTGTTCAGAGTCTTACGAGAAAGTCAGACGTTTGCAGTATTTCTCGAATTATACTATCAGTCATGGATTAGATGAAGTAAAAAAAAAACTAAAAATTAGATTTTCGAAATATTCAGGTTTCTTTTTTTGCAATAAAATATATCAGTTACCGAGATTAATATGGAGTCAAAATATACATTAATATGGAGTCAAAATATTTGGCAACGTTGCGTAGCGCGCGAGCTTCAGACCATTCAATAAATTCAAACTAATTTATTTATTTACACTGACTGCAAAAACTTAAACGTGTTTAAGGTTATATTGTGCAAATGAAAATGTAAACAACCGAAGTACAGCGTTGCCAAATCACGGACAGGTTACTAGCAGCTGATTTGAAAGAGTCAAATTAATTTTTGTATTTAACTATTTTTTTTTTTTATTTTTAAAATTTCAACGATTAATGCCTCATATACTATTTATTATTTAATTTTAGGAATTTTTATGGGTTTTTTATTTTAATTTATCGTATATTGACTACTACAATTGTTTTGACTCAACTGGAGCGAAAGGATTTCCTTAAAAGTGGTTTTTTTGGAATAACTTTTAAACGACTCTATCGATCAGTTCGAAAAACTAAGCAGCTCTTAACCTTGAAAAACCACGTCGATCGCCGCTAATCCGGTCAAAATCGGTTGATTCGTTCGAGAGATATCGTGAACGAAAGAAAACCGAATAGTGTTTTTTTTTTGGAATTACTCTGAAATCCCTATAGTTCGATCAATTCAAACTTATAGATTCTTTTTGAGGCTTAAAAAACTACGTCGAATGCCGCCAACCGCGTGAAAATCGGTTCATTCACTCAAAAGTTATTGCGGTTTGAAAATTCAAAAAATAGTGTGTTACCAAACTTCTATCAAACTTTTAAGCTCGAAGAGCATAGGAAAGCTATCTCTTTGAGCTCGGAGAGCTCAAAATAATACATAAACTATATTTTTGAGCTCAAAAACGTCATAATTGCAATTTCAAGCGCCTAGGTATAGAATTAGCGGGAAGTTGCATCAGGGATGGCCGTCAGGGTCAACCGTTTTCCTAATTATTTTTGTTATTTATTTTAATTTTAGTAGTTTTCACAGTCAATTCACATGCGACAAGGATAGCTTGCGTGTGTTAAGTATAATTTGCATGCGCCAAGTAAACTAGTCGCACTCAAATAATAGTTTCATTTACGAAAAAATTCACGCGTAATTTAAAAATGGGCAAACAGCTCTTTTTCAACCGCAACAGCGAGCGCTAAGATACCTACTACTTATTCCGCACGAGTAATAAAAAATAATTTTTTTAACAATCGACGTAATGATAATTAAAAAGCATGACATTAGATGAAACATTTTTTTATCTAAATCAGATACATTTTTAGGAAAATTTTGGGACACCTTACAAATAATTGAAAATTTTCAAGTAGTGCATTTTAGGCACTTTCATCAATTCTAAGTATTTTTAAATGTTTTTTTGGACATGTTTTGGGAACGCTTTTGTCTATTTGAAACAATTTTATAAAAATTATGCCCTTAGAATTTTTTGTGAAACATTTTTTGAATAATTTGAGAATATATTTTGGATAACTTTGGAACAACTTTTGGATATTTTTAGAACGATTTAAAAATAGATTTAATTTGTTTTTCCAAAGCTGAATTATTTGTCCAAAAATTAATACTTAAAATGTTCTGAATAACAATTGATGGAAAATTATTTAAAAAATGTTAAAAATTCATTTTGGGACAAATAAATCTGTTAAAAGTGATCAAAAGGTGTTTCTACTATTAATTTTGCTACAAATAAACAAGTCTTTAAAATGTTTTTAAATTGTTCTAAAATGTCCCAAAATTGTCCTAAATATATCCGAAAATTATTCTAAAAAGGTCCTAAAAATGTCCAAAAAATATTTAAAAATACTTAAAATTCATGAAAAAGTGCCTTAAATGCACTACTTGAAAATTTTCGATTATTTATAAAATGTCTCAAAATTGTTCTAAAAATTTTCCTTATTGTGTCGCGTTTTGATGTCCTCGTATGGGACATTTTTGGAACAATTTTTTTTTTTACATGGGAGGCATCAGTTGCATTCTTTTGAATGTAACATGGTAATGTTTACCATTGTATAATGATAATATTAAATGGTATAATTACCAATGTTTATTGGAAATATAACTATTTTCTTTTCTCCGTGTACAATTAGTATAGTAATTTTTAATAAAGCAATTAAATAAAAAATAAAAAATAATTCACTTGGAAATTTTCTCTTCAATTCATTAAAAAATCAAAATTATGAACTTTCTGTCTTCCTTATCAATCAAAATTATTTTTATTTAAATTTGATCACTCTCATTATTAACGGTTGAATGAAGACACGTGCCGTATCATTTCCTCCAAATGTTTTTCATCAATACTAAATACGTATTTTCTTTTATAAGCAACTAAATTATTCACATTAATTCAAATACTTGATAAAAGTTTCCAGTAAGTTTAACGTAAATCACCATTTGAGAGGGGTAAATAAAAAACAAACTATTTTTTCATACATGTGTATGTATATATATTTTATAAAACATTCTATTTATACTTCATATAAAAAACAATACTCTGTATCCAATATTATTTTTTTTTAAATATATATTCACACTGCGCGATTAAACGTCTGAATACCACCACACAACACAGAACTACATTAATCGGCGGGTCAACGTTTAATATCATCAATATCATAATAATAAATAATATCTATAATATATAATATTCTTATATTTATATATATTTATAGATCTCATATTTATAAATATCACTTCATACTCTTGATCATTAATTACCATAATCTTTTCTATTTATTTCTTCTTCTTCTTTCTTTTTATTCGTGTTTTTTTCTCTGATAAAAATAAAAAAAATTTTTATTAATTTGTTACAAATAAATAAATTTTTATTATTTCCTTTCAAATACTCGATACCGGACATATTAAGTCAGTCTCTCTTCTTTTGTGCTTAATATATTACCATGGACATGCGTTTGTTTGGGAATACTTGATGGTCCGTTAATATTATTAGGACCATTAATAAGATTATTATTATTATTATTATTATTATTATTATTATTACTATTACGGTTATTATCAATATTATTATTATTATTATTATTATTATTATTATTATTATTATTATTATTATTAAGATTATTAACATGATGATGCACAGAACCGTGATTCAAAAAAACAGCATCTGATTTTCCAGTAAACTGTCCGGATCTTTCTCCAGCTTCCAAATTATCATGTTCGAGATCATCGACGTTCAAAAAAGAATCATCGAAAACTTCACCCGTATCACGTTGTTCCGGCGGAAGACGATTTAACCTAGACTTAACGATCGACAGATGTTTACGAATATAATCTTGTTCCGGAGCCATTGCCGCAGCTTTTTCCAAGCACTGTGCTGCTAGATAGAGTTGCCCTCGTTCCACCATAACCACGCAAAGATTGTGTAAGCCTTGAATGTTTTTAGGGTCTAACTGCAAAATTTTTCTGTAACACTGATAAATAATTAACATTAATAAAACCATTAACTTTTACATAACTCGTAATTGTCTTTATGATAAAAGATAACGAACAAAAATATATATTAATTACATTCTCTGCAGCATTGAAGTCTTTGAGATTGTTAATGTAGATGTCGCCAAGAAGTATAAGACCTTTTATATGATCTGGATGAAATCTAACAAGCTGATTTAGAAACGTAACTGCCTCAAGTGGACGTTGTTCTTCAGCAAGCAGTAGCGCTAGATTAAATAGCGCCGATCTAAAGTCTTCTTTAAGCGCAACAGCATTTTTAAACCATCGCTCGGCACTTGCGACATCATGATCATCCATTGCGAGCATTCCTAAATTGAAATGTAGACGCTCGTTGTTGGGATCCTAAATTTCGATTTTAAAATAAAAAATTTCAAGTAATTTATTTGACGTGGAGCTCCACCGTTTTTCGGCCATAAGAAATCGACAAATTGGATTACTGATTTAAGGGGTTACATGGGTTTCACGGTATTTTTGTTTTATTAAATTCTACAACATCTCTAGAATATTGTCCGAAAGTTTCAAATTGATCCGAACAATAGTTTCGGAGATATAATTTTAAAAAATTGCGCGCTCAAGGCGCTGTTGTATTGTCACTCAAAACTTTAAACGCGTTTTTCTCAAAACTATGTTTTCACAGACGGTGTCCAAGATTTTTCGAGAACTACTCAACCGATCTTGATAAAATTTTAGACAGGTCTTCGAGATATAATTTACAAGGTCTGGAACGAAGGATTTTTTTTTTTTCAATTACAACTATTTAAAAAAAAAAGCCGCGAAATTTTAGCCAAATTATTAATTTTTTTGTAAAAAACCTCTGCCAAAAATCCAATTTTCATTTTTTTTTTTTTTCCTTCGTTCAAGACCTAGTTTGAAGTCTTAACTAAAGCACATACCCAAGCGGCAAAAATTTTTTTTTGTTAATGTTTTGTTGAATTTAAGTTGACGATTGTTAATTTTTTAACTTCTTGTTGAGTGAAATCTATCAAAAAGTAAACTTTTTTTTTGTGTTACGCTTGGGTATTTTTTTTTTTTTTTTTCATTTCAAATAATCCTGCTAGGAGTTCTGCTGGTCCCGCAGACACATCTTTTTCCGAGGGCTGACCGGAAATGACGTCACATTAGCAGAGTATTTAATATTTTTTTTTTTTTAATTTCAGTAATCCCTTATTAAACATCTTTAAAACAGTAAAAAGTTTGAATAAAATATATCATTTTTTCTATTAAAAAAATGTTGTTGAAAATAGGCCATTTTTTCCGGAGGGAACCCATGTAACCCCTTGAAGGTAGTAATGCGATAATTTTTCATTACTTTCAGATATTTTGTATTAAAAAAAAAATCTCAACATCAATTTTTCAAATTTTCGTAATTTTGTAGAATTTTTTTAATTATTTTTTTTTTTGAAGCAAGGTATAAAAAAATTATCACATCACCATAAGATTTTGAATCAAAGGTCAACATTTATAAATTTTTCCCAAATTTATTAAAAATGTTTAAATCGTTTTTTTTTTAATTTTTTCAGTTTTTCATCTTTTTCCAAAAAAAAACAATAGTTTGGTACTTAAAAAATTTATGTCTAAAAAGTTTCAATGAAAAACAAGACAAATATACATTTTTTAACTTTTAAATTAAAAAATGTAATAGAAAACATTATTTTCTTTAATTGAATAATTTAATTTTTCGATTTTTAATGGTAAAAAACGGTGAATCTTCACACTAAAATAATTATCAAAATTAACATTTCATTATTTTTAATTGTTAATTGAATCATAATCTATGAAATACCTTTCTAAGCAATTTAAGAAGCCGTTCACGAGCAACTTTTCTCAATTCTTCGCGACCTAGTTCTTGTAACAATATCGCTGAATTTAATAAAGCTTGCTCGTGTTCCGGATCAAATTCAAGAGCCTTGTCCAAGTATGCTAATGCTTGTGACGCTTTTCCTTGTTCCAGAAATACAACACCCAACTAAAACAAAAAACTTGAAATTAATTTTCAGGAACAATAAAATATCATTTTAATTTCTAACTCAAAAATTCATAAACTCACATTGTAATAGATATCTGGATTATTACTATCATAAAAAAGCGCGCGTTCATAAACTTCTTGCGCTTCTTTAGTTCGATTCATTTTAATCAAAACATCACCGCGATTAATATACGCCTGAGTGTAATCAGCCCGCATACTGATAGCCTGTCTGTAAAGCAAGTCAGCTTCTTCCAAACGCGTTGAATTTTTGGCTATTAAATTAGCCAAATTGACAAAAACATTAAGATGGTTGGGCGCTATACGTGCCTGGTAAGATTCTCCAGGCTTTGCTTTTGGCAACAGCGACTTAGCCTGCAAACGATAACATTTGTGATTGTTTTATTAACTTAAATAAATTAATTAAATAGAGTTAATAAACAAACAAACCTTGAGATAAGCGTCTTCCGCTTCTTTGAACATTTTAAGATGATTATATGTTCTTCCGACGTTTATGTGAGCGCCTATGTCGTCGCCTTGTACCCTAACTGCTTCGTTGAAATAATCCAAGGCTTCTTTGTACCGACTTTGGCTTTCTAATGCATGGCCAACATTATTAAACAACTTTGCATTTTGTACGTTTACTTTAAGACCTGACATAAAAATTGAGTATTCATCAACCCAGTCATTGTTCCGTACAAATGTTTTTACTGAATGAGACAGTAGTAAAATAATTAGTAAGATAGTTGATAGTTTTGAATATCTGAAAAATAAATTTGATTTTTAAAATTACTTTTTTAATAATAATTGTTTGCAAACATAGTATAGGAAAATTTAAAACGAACTGATCTAATTGAGGAGCTTTAAATCAAAGAAACTATTTACATACTTTAGAATGTGAAATTAATAGCATGTTAGTATTCTCTTTGAACTTTGATACTTTTCAACTTTCATTTCTTAAATGTATGTAAAGAGTAAATCGCGTGCCATAAGGTAAAAGGGCGCATCATTTTTTTTTTTTATCACCAATCGACTGGTTGACATATTCTTCGCCTAAAAATGAAGCATCGATTTCCTAAAGCTGAAAAGGCGTATATCTTTTATTATGCGCCCTTTTAGCTTTAGGAATAATTTAAAAATTTTATGACCTAAAGCTAAAAGGGCCTATAAATTTTTTTTCGAAATATTTAATTAAAATGCTTATTTTTAGCCTAAAAATTAAAAAAAAACGGTAGAGTCACACGAGAGATGCTTATTCTAATTAATCATACACTCTTTTAAAATTACAATTAAAAATATTTTCAAAAAATTGCTAAATATGCGTGATTGTAGTAATTTATTTTTTATTTGAAAATTATTTCAATCTCATTAGTTTTCGATTAATTTATTTATTATTCATCTATTGCTTGTATGAAAATAGTTTAAAATTATTATTTTTTCAATATTGTTTAAGTACTTAACAGCCGATCTCCTCTGTTTTTCGCGTCGCACTCACTGTAAGAAACGGTATTATCCTTGTTGCACTCATAATTATAAAACTATTGTAGTTTTATGTTTTTCTTTTAAACAAATGAGAAGTTCGAAAAAAACGCTCTGCTATGAAATAGATAATTAAAAAATCTATTACGTAGCAGTGTGTTTTTTTTTTTTTTTTTTTTCAAAATTCTTCTTTGTCTAAGAGAGAAATATAAAGTTACAATCGTATAGAGACCGGCAGTTAAGAAATTTTTTTTTATTTATTAAATTTTTTTTTTCATGTCTTGTGAAGCTATTTATCAAAATTTTATATAAAAAGTTAAATTTTTTTTATGCGCCCTTTTAACTGTAGGATGCTCGAATTTTTTTTTTTTTTTACATATCTTTGTGTTTCGAGTGATTTTAAGAATGGCAAAAAAAATTTTTTTTATGCGCCCTTTTAGCATGGATCCCTACTAACCTGTAGCTATGCGCTTTTTTTGCATTAGGCACGCGAAATGTATTTTGATACTTTGCTTTTAAATTTACCTCTTTTCAGAAAGAACACTCCATCCATGACCAACAAGCATACAAAAACCCATCGACGGAGCGTAAAGAACTCGTTCAGCAATAACGAAGCCAACAGGAAAAAATAGATTTGACGCTGGTAGAAATGGCAGGATCATCAATGCTAAACTTATTATAATAATGATTGACGTTTTACGATTACGTGTTAATATTGCGACAATCAATAGTCCAATAATCATTCCGTGTGCCGCTAACGTTGCTAAATTACGTATATCTAACAAACTTTCAATTAATGGTATTGTACCCATCGTCCAATCACAGCATAAATCACTCGGTAAAAATAATAGTCTTAAATTAACAGCTGCTAAGTAATTGTACGTTAATTGTCGCGTTGGAGTTGGTGCTACAGACGCAGGATTGTCGAATCTAAAACAAATTTATTGTTATTATTATTGTAGTTCATGAACATAAATATTTATTTGTTGGTAATTAACTTACAAACAAAATAATAAATGAGTATGTTGTATTAATACCTTGTAAATACTGGTAAACGTGAACCCATAACATTTAATCTTAATATTAGGAGACTAAATGTAACAAGTGTTAATGCTGCTAAACGTTTAGTACCCTCACCAGACCACGTTGGATTTATTTTATTACCTCCGAATGCCGATTTTATTGTTAAGAATATGTCTATTGCTTTTACTTTTTGGACAACAAATATTTCATACACAACACACACTGCTGTTGCAGTAATTCCTTGCTCTTTGCACAACATTGCAATAAATACACAAAGCATTGACATCATCATTGGTCTCCAGGCTGTAAGTTTATTTGTTTAGTTAATTCGGGTAATTACTTACTGGATTTAAAAGGTTATTTATAACTCTACCTGTAGAGGGTTTTTTATTACCTGTAGTACGTTTGCTTTTACAAGCCTTTGTGTACATAATAAAGGCACCTAAATAAAAAAGGGAAGACAGTGTTTCAGCTCTTCCTACAACACCGGTTACGGCTTCTGTGTGCACTGGATGTACGGCAAATAGTAATGCCGATACAAAACTTGCCAAGTCTGATAAAAACATCAGACAGGTTCTGTAACATTAATTTTTTGTTTATTATTTTTTATTGATAGTGCTGTTATTTACTTAAAATTTAATAATTTATAAAATTATATTTTTACCTGAAATAAAGTATACAAACAGCAACATGTAGTATAACATTTAATAAATGATATCCCATTGGATCTAATTGGTGGATCAGGTAATTCCAACGAAATGTAAGAACGCAAAATGGTCTGTACGACTTGTGCGATTGTTCCTGAAAATAAACAATCAAATAAATAAATTAATCGATTGACAAATTTATGGATTTATTTACTATACTAAATTAATTACTGTTGCCGGAAGCTGTAAACCTGCATTGCATTGTATTTTATCTACGAGGTGTAAGGGGTATGCAATTTAATGATAGTTATTAGCGTTTAAATGAAATAAAGTAGGATTAACGATAATAGAAATGAAGAGAATGTTCTGAATAGAACAAAGCGATGAAAAATGTTGAGATAAATTGAATAGATAGATAAAAAATAAATGAAGACAAAAAGGAATGTTGGATCTGGATAAAGAGTTTAAATGAAATTCAATGGAGTAAATCGGATTTTATCAAAATGAAACAGTATGAGTATTACACGATTGCAAGGTAAAGAGAGAACTCAACTGGAGAGTGAGAGAAATTGGATCAATACACAAGTGGTGATTCTATGAGTACCGTGGGGGTACTCGATGCGCGTCCTTTTACAACATATTTTGGTTATTATTACCATTGCTATTATTATTATTAGTCACTTTTTACTGACAATTATTATCAATTCATTAATTAACACCGAATAGTTATTTCAATCGAGATATAATTGATATTCGATTGAAACTCTTTGAAATTGATAATTTTATCACCATTTCAGTCAAATGATAGTCTTTTCATTCATATGAATTAATAATAATAAACAAAATAATAATCATTTTGACAATAATACTGATGAATATTAGCAGAAATTTGACAGTTAGAAAATTATTTTCAACAAATATATTATATGAAAAAAATTTTCTTAATTCATTTTTTAAATGAAACTGAAAAATAGTTAGTTGTCCGTTGATTTCAATACCATTTTTGACAAGTAAATAAATAATAATTATTATTATTATAACTATTAAAATATAAAATAAAAAAAATGTTGCCACGATGAACATAATCGTTTCTCAAAATAATAATAATTAATTAATTAGCAAATTAACAATAAAAATCTTTGAAATAAATTACACAATAATACCTTGTACATTGGTGTACCCCAAAAATCATTGTAAAAAACATTTCTAAGGGGTGTATGTGGTCTCAAATCACGATTATCTTTGATCGCAGAAATATCATCAAATACAAATCCACAACCTAAGCTGTTACTGTAAATAGCAAACGCAGCAGCTGCTACGAATGTTGCCAATACTCCACGAGCAGGCACTCCCATTATTTATTCATTGGTCAGATATTTATTTTTCTTCTTTTGCAGTTTCTCAAATAAATTTAACCTCCAGCTTAGTAATCGCCGCCTCTATTATTTGTCAATATGATGAATAATGATAATTTTTCGTGTTCTCGAACAAAAAAAAACAATAACCGGTGATTACACCGTCGGTACTCAAAGTACCTCCATCAATACGAGTATCACAAATGAATTTTGTATATTTTTTTGACATTTGCTTCAATTATCAAACACTTTAAATACACAAATAGCACGATCATACTATTAAACAGATGATCCGTCCTGCGGCAACTTTACTTTTTTTTATTTTTATTGTAATAGCACTCCTTGTTATTATTGTTATAATAATAATAATAGTAATAATAATAATAATGATTATTATTATTACTATTATTATCTATTTATTTAGTATATTTTGCGTGGATTTAAGATCGATTTACCGAGTGATAAACACGAGTAGGTGCTTGGATTTTACTGCACAAGCTGTGCCGTCAAGTCAAACACAATCATCTTCTGGAGTACAGAGCGTTTCTCGTTTTGCGCACGCGCAATTCAATCTTTTCCCACGTTGGTTTTATTTTTTCTGCTTATCTTCATTTTTTTTAAGAAAAACATTCAAAAATTATATTTTTCTATGTCCAAAAATTTTATCGAAAAAATACTTTAATTTTTTATAAATAACAATTACAAATTGACAATTTTGAATATTATTTGAATATTAACCAACAGCCGCCATCTTATGTATAGTCTCGAGAACTTTGCAGTAAATTATCAATTGTTGGTAATTAAATAATTTGTTTTATTTTTCAGAGGCGCTGAAACTCGTCTTAGCTTTTTGGAATTTTTTTACTTTCTCAACACGTGGGGATTATTTTACTACCCGGTATTTTTCTGCTCCAATTTATTGTGAAAATAACAGATAAATAATTAAATAAAATGGGTGAAGTGACACTTATCAAAGAAGAACAAGAAGACGGAGTGGACGTTGATGGAGGAAAAGAAATTAGTTATGAAGAAAAAGTTAATAATTGTAATTCTATCGCTAATCCCATGGCTCCAAAAAAACTAACCAAGAAAATTTACAAGCTAATTAAAAAAGGTATTTATTTATTATGTGTTATTGAATTCAGCAAACATCTGACAATTTTTGTAATGATAATAATAAATTTATCATAATAGAAAAATATTTTTAAAAATTTCCACAAATGATTTCTTTTAATTTCTATGTGGAATTTTTTTACTAAATTTTTTGATATTCATTTAATAATTTAGTTAAAAATATAAATAATTGTCAGATGTCTGTTAATGTCAATATAATTTTTATTTCATTAATTGATTAATTTATTTTGTTGTTGGAGTTTTTATTTAACCAAATAATTTTTTTTTTTTTTTCAGCGTCAAAACAGAAAACTTATTTGAGAAATGGTCTCAAGGATGTACAAAAGCATATAAGGAAAGGCGAAAAAGGGTAAATATTTTATAATTGATTTAAATTTCTATAAATTAAAAAATTATAGAAACATATGATAAATTATTTTCATTAGTTTAAGTAATAGTTTTGAAAAGTAAAGTTGAAATAATTGTGGAAAATTATACTCAAAATAACTTGCAAATTTCTGTAAATAGTTTAATTGAATAATTTTTTTATTTTTGAGCAGAATTGATTTATAAATTAAAGAAATAATAGTATACCATTTTCTTTTTATGATAAAACTTTAAATATCAGTAATTAATTTATTTATGAAAATTTCAGAATCGTAATCTTTGCTGGTGATGTATTTCCAATAGAAATAATGTGCCATTTACCAGTGGTCTGTGAAGACAAAGAGATTCCATACTGTTACGTACCATCCAGACAAGACATTGGCACTGCTATGGGCGTGAAACGAGGCAGTCTGATGGTCCTAATTAAAGAACATGCTGATTACAAGGACCTTTACGATGAGCTCCAAGAAGCTATCAAACATCTTGCTTCCCCACTCTAGAGATATCATTTTTTATACTAAGAAACTGGTTTAAGATAAATAAATATTGTATTAAACAAATAAATTTTCTAAATAATTTCAAATTGCTTAATAATATCCCTGCAAATTCTTTCTAATTCCATACTTAAGCGCTCAAAATTGCATTTATTACGTTTTTGAACTCTTCGAGCTCAAAAGTCTGATAGAAGATTAATGAAACACTATTTTTTGAATTTTCAAACCGCGATAACTTTTGATTGAATGATCCGTTTTTCGATCGAACGAGAAATTTCGGAGTAATTCCGAAAAAACACTTTTTTCGGTTTTCTTTTGACAACGATAACTCACGAACGAATCAAACGATTTTGACCGGACTTGGGGTGATCGACGTCGTTTTTTAAGGGTAAGAGCTAATCAGTTTTTGGAATTGATCGGTAAAGTCATTTAAAAATTATTTCTCGGAATCTACCGGTCCCAATCGGTTAAAAATCACAGGAAATCTAAGTTTGATGGATCTCTCTAAAATGCTACTAGTTCAGTTCCAATCGATCAAACCGTTCAATACGATAAGGGGGCGTCCATTAATTACATACGGTGTTGTAGGGGGGGGGGGGATCAAGCTGAATCTCTTCAAATCTCACTTAGGGGAAAGTCTTAGCAAATGCCACGTAATCATTTTTCTAGCAGAAAACTGTGTAAAATTGCATGAAAAATTATTTCTTGAATAAAATATGACCAAATCTGACACAATAGTGTTTGTCGTATTCGTCCGAACCCCTTAAAGCCGCATAGCCCTGGTTAAAAATATTGATTGAAAAGAATTAAAAATGATAAAATTTGAATTCATTTCAATAATTTCAATTCTTTTGTTTGTATATATAGATATACAATATTTACAATATTCATGGAGTGGCCGCTTTTCAATTCTTTTCAATCAGTATTTTTAACCAGGGAGTAGCGCTCGATTGTTTAAGCGCTATCGACCAGCTGTATCGATACGTGAGACTCGAGAAACAATAATCTAACACATTTACATCAGCCAAAACATAAATTTTGATGAATCTCGCGTGAGATTAGGGAAGGGGGGAGGAAGTTGAGGAAAATCTTACGATATCTCACCAAGGAGGGATATCATGATATGCATGTTAAAATTATATCAAAAATTTTTACATCGCATAATTGGATTACAAGCGAGGTCAGTTTTACATCTGATTTATGTAAAATATTATGACATTCCGATGGCATAAATAACGTCATATTACAGACATGTGTTCACTGAGATAGTTCTTCAAAGAAAAAAATGACCAATCATAATTTTCTAACATCGTAAAAATTCAAGGCAACTACGTGATAAAATCTAAAAAAATAACCTATTGTTTTCCTATCTTTTTTGTAGATTAGTCTACATCGATAACAGTTCTGATGAAGTGTGATAAAAAGTTGCAATTTTTTTAGATATCAGAATTTGGATTATATATATATATATATATTAGGGTGATTCATTTCCGCAAAATTTTTTTTTTTT